TAAAAATAATAAGATAGTAATATTATTTCTTTTATATACGTAATGTTTCAAAATCATAGGACGATTCGTCTTTAGAATGTTCGGAACATATGAGATTTTGCCGAGCAAGAAATATTATGCTCAATTTTACGGATTTGCTTCATCGAAATGAACCTCTTCGTTATAAGATGGATGTATTGAAAGAGGGCGAAATCGGTGGATATTGCATGTAAGTAAAGCAGAAGGCTAATCGACATCTTAATAGTCATGCTTTTTTGTCAACGTAGATTAAATGAGAGAAGACTACAAGATAATGCGGATCATATTAGCCCACTGCAATCTTGGGGGCCCGAATTGCGAAATTTTCGTAAACTACCTCGACCACCGATCGTCAATGGCGACTGTGATATCGTAATCGAAAAGCCGACGTTCATAATGAAAATAGATGCCAGTAAGTCGTAAGAGACTCTCTTCGCGGGGCAGAATTCATTTAGTATAGCCACAAATCTTTTTTTTGCCATTCCGCTCATTTGTAGAAGTCGTTTTGTTTCAGTAGTAAACATGTATCATCATTTTTGTGACTTTTTCAACTTGTACGCGTCATTGCACGTAAATCTCTCGCACCCCGACGCCTTCAGCACTGATAATCATATAATGATCTGGGAAAGTTACAGGTAACTGACACCAATGCAAAAGAAAAACCGCGAGATATTAGATATCATGAGTTCTATCTCACTTTCCAGCTATCGCTCTGCATTCCAAGATACTTTCGAGGCTTTCACGAGAAATCCGTTGTGGGATTTAAAAACATTTCGCGGGAAATCTGTTTGCTTCAAGAATCTCGTGCTGCCGCTACTACCTCGTATGATTTTTGGATTATATTATAATACACCTCTTGTATGTTTTATTTTTATTCGCACTTCCGGAGATAAAAAGGTTCAAAATTTTCTTGAGAGAAATGTGGTTTTAGATTTATGGCTGTGAGAAAAGTGGATTATTTAAAGCTTTCGGCGATCACGTATTACACCGATTACGTATACCTCATCATGAAAGAAAAAATCAGAGGATACGAGTTACTCTGCTTAGCAGAGATACCCACTATAGGAGGATACTAAATGAGGACGAACTAGTGAAAGCGTTAAAAGAAAATCCTGAGTACAAAGTTAGAAAGGTAAAACAAATATTAAGAATCATTAAACAAGGAAAACTGACAAATTCAACTTTGTAGGCTGTTTATAATAAGAAAGTTCCATTTAAAAAACAATTAGAAATCACGAGGAATTCTGATGTTTTTATTGGTATACACGGTGCCGGATTAACACACCTTATGTTCCTGCCAGATTGGGCGGCTGTGTTTGAGATGTAGGTATACTTAATCATTTATTTCCAAGAGTATACCAACGAGGAGAGATATTCCTTGGTGAGTATATGTACTATAAATATATGATCTTATATATAGATATAACTGTGAAGATCCAGGATGTTATAAAGATCTTGCTCGCTTACGAGGAGTAAAATACTTTACATGGGAAAATACTACGAAATTAGTGCAACAGGATCCCGTAAGTTCGAAGGAAACTTTTATTTACTGTTTGATATAAGAATAATTGAAATCTGATGTAGGGTACGCATCCTGACGGCGGAGCACACGCGAAATTCACGAATTATAGTTTCGATGTTAAAGAATTTTTACGCATTACGTCTCAAGCTGCGGAATACGTAAAAAATCAGAATAGTTTCAAGGAATTTGTCAACAAAAGGGCACAGCGCAAAAAAGCAGGAATAAAGAATCAGACTAGGACAAGTGAGACGAAAGAAACTGAAAATCCTAAATCAGAAGAAACTGCTAAGTTTAAACCTGACGTCCAATCCAAAGATGAATTATGACGAACACCTTAGGCAATTTATTTCGATATAAAGAAAAACCTTTCAAAAGTAGGCTAATAAATGTTAACATCGAATGAAACATGTGAACTGTTACCAAATAGTTTACTTATTTTTGTACGAATAAATATAAAATAATTTTAAGATATCTACGTGTCGCAGTGAAAATTATTTTTTATCTCGATTTATGGTTTAATTGTAATAATTTCATGTGTTACAATACAATCTAGACAGTCACATAGTCGGATATGGAATTAACAATGAATTATACATTTTACAATTTGATCTGTATTTGTTTTCTATACAATAATAAGACGAAGTAAATATTTATTGCCATGTATGCAACCAGTATTTGCAGAGCTTTCAACTGGTTTACGTACAACGTTCGTATTAACATGTTGACACCGCCAGTCATTAAATTCGTTAGTAGAAAGAAGAAGAGGCCATTATAATTAATAGCTTCGAATATTTCGATACCATTTTCGTTCTCACAAGATACACTCTTCTGCTGGTATTTTGTATTCGATCTAGGCGTTGTTTTCTTTTCAGTGGATTCTGAATCTGTGATTGCATGAATCAGTATCTCAGAAATTATTTCTATAAGCAATAAGAATGTAAGTGCCATGGCTCCCCAAGTAAGTATCCACATGCAATACCCTGCATTTGCTAATCGTCTAGAAACTTTAAAGTATGAATCACAGAATAGTGTGGCTGCACAGGTTTGAGCTGTTATCAATGACAATTTAATACACAAGATCATTGATTCATTGTAACTTGCATCAAATTCGTATCCAAGCAACTTTACATGAATAGTTTTATACCTGTTTTGCAATTGTTGTGTACGTGAATTTTTATAAGTAGAATGAACTAATCTGCCAATTGCTACCCCTATTAAATAAAGCCCAACGTACCCAGGCACAGATACCACCCCTTCTCTATTAGCAGATACAAAATTATTCCTTGGCCTATCACTGAATACCCATTCTTTTAATCCTTTAGTACTCAAAATGTATTCATGCATTCCCAAAATCCAGATTCCTGATAGTAATGAGTATCTTGAGCTGATAGTACTTGTTATAGTACTTGTAAACAATTTGACAAAAGCAAGTGTTATGAAAAAATTCCAATGAATCCCATATTCAGTTACATGCTTTTGATATCCTAGAATTTCAACAGCAGCAGAGCGACCGAAGCCTAATATTAAAAGTGGAATGCAACTTCTGGCTGTCCGCTTTATGTTTTTCGAAATAGTATACAAGAAACCTGCTCTAGGCTTAAGAGTAAAATCTTTGGCTTCTGGTGCCACAATAGCATTGCTAAATACAAACAACCCAACACCAGTGTCCATTAAACTGTATCCAAAGAATTCAGTCTTAACAAACTTACGAGGGAAAATGTGAAAATCTACTGCTAATATACATATTGCTGATATCATATTAGTTAATCCTCTAAAATTTGTAATGAAAGGTCTTTTCCCATAAGTAGGCCTTATACTTGATACAGTGCTAGTATTCGTTCCTATTAATAGAACATTAATAATGGATATCACAATCATACAACAACCAACTGTTAAAACATACTCAGATAATACAGTACAACATAAAATAGATGGGATTACAATCAATACAAATTCTAGAATAACTTTAACATTGTTATTCATAACCCTTTTTAAAAGGGCCACTGTAGTAGTAGTCAAAAAGATACTACAGATATTTGGAAATACTGCATATATAACTTCCCTGGCAGTCGTTCCAGCATGACCAGAAACGAATGCTTCTTGCTCCTGGCGGTAAAGTTTCCTATCCCATGTATTTGACATATTTTTAAATAATAATTTCTATTGATGAATAATACTCTGCAAAGAAACATTGTTTACTAAAATAACAGATCTAATTAATTTCTACAAACTGTAACTTACTTGTGAGAACATTATTTTAATTCCTATCTGAGTACGTTTTGTATTTCACAACTTAAAAACAAGAGCAGAAATTTCAACCAGCAGCCCATTCATGTACAATCATCTTCTAAAATTTTGAAGGAACTGATTGCAGTGCAATGGCACAGCCGACGAATGGATCCTGTTTAATTATCGTTTTGCTTTCAGCCTTTAATTATCTCTCGTTTGAATTAAGAACTTTAGACTGTTTCAATGCAACATGTTAATGAATCAATGCCATCGATTACTGCAGAAACCAATTCCTAAAAAATTTTTAGGATCGAATGTACGTTCATTGTTCATTCAAGTACTTTATGTATATGTATATATGTAATCGATAGGTGGCGCAACAATTCAGTATTTTGCAGTATTTTGCAAGATAATACAGAAATACTGCGGAAATGTTACACTGTATATAACAAGTAACTTGATTAGCCATACTAATATATTAGAAACTAATATATTAAATCCTTGAGACGTATTATAATGTTTTAATAATTATTATGATCCAAACAGTATATGGAATAGAATGTATGGACAAAGGGATTTGAGTATGTGTTGTTCAGTGAATAAAATAGATGTGTCAGAAGTTTGAAAGTCGCACTAAGATAAATTTTCCTATATCAAAAATTACAGAATCAAAACTACCAAAGAGACCTTTTCCTTATCAAGATCAAGAGATAGATGAAACAAATCCAGCAAAAAGACACAAAGCTAACACAACACTTGGCATAACAATGAATGAACAGAAAACAGTATCGAACAAAGACTTCATATCTCTTGCTGAAAGAATGAGACCTGAATGTCTTGATGATTACATAGGTCAAGAACAAATTGTTGGTTCTAACACAATATTACAAAAATTGTTAATAAAAGGTCATGTACCTAGTCTGATATTTTGGGGTCCACCAGGTTGTGGAAAGGTAATAATAACAACTATTAAGCATGTCTATTTTCACTACCAATTTAGCTTTAATAATACATGTCTTTATATTTCTTAGACATCATTGGCTAATGTTATATCAAAGTTAAGTAAACAAATGCATGGGAAGGATGTATGTATTGTAAAATTGTCTGCTATTTCTTGTGGCGTGAATAGCATAAGGGATATTGTTAATACACCCAAAAATGTATCAAAAAAAAACTGTCAGACTATCGTATTTATGGATGAGATACATAGATTTAATAAACTTCAACAAGATATTTTTCTACCTCATGTCGAAGCAGGGACGTTTACCTTAATTGGTACAACCACAGAGAATCCATATTATAGTTTAAATTCTGCCTTGTTAAGCAGGTGCCGTGTATTTATTTTAAATAAATTAACAGTCTCAAATATTGTACAAATTCTTTGTAAAGCAATTGTGTCTATTAATGGAGAAATAAGCAATCCCCAACAGAAAGCTTTGTTAACTGATAAGGAAGATAAAGTAAATTTCAAGGCTAGACCACGTTTTTCTATTAATCAGACAGTAATTGATTGGCTAGCAGAAGTATGTGATGGTGATGCACGTGTTGCATTGAATGGTTTAGATTTAGCAATCAAGTCTAAAGTGTCAGATGAATCAAAATCTTTGTCAATAACGCTTGAGGATGTTAAAGAAAGTCTTATAAAAGTGCATACGTTGTCTGATACACAAAATAATAATAGTCATCATCTGTACTCTGCATTGCATAAATCAATACAAGCTGGGCAACAAAATGCATCAATATATTGGCTAGCACGAATTGTAGCAATTAAGGAAGATCCTGTTAATATTGCCAGAAGATTAGTAAGAATATCAAGCGAAGATGTTGGCTTAGCAGATCCTGACGCCTTAGGTACATAATACATAAAGAAACATTGCAATGCAGGATACAAAGATCTGAATTTATTTTAGGCATAGCTGTACATACTATGCATGGATGTCAAATGATTGGATTTCCAGAGAGCGATCTGCTTTTAGCAGAATGTGTTGTATATTTAACTAGAGCACCAAAGTCTCGACTTGTGTATAATGCATTGAAATCAGCTGAAAATACAATCTTAAATCATAAAGGCCCACAACCCATGGTGCCACTGCACATTAGAGACAGATCAGGAAAAAGAAAACTTTCTGCCATCTTTGGTAAGATATTAATCATTCGCGTTTATGCAGTATTATTGTCTTTTTGTATTATTTTTAGACGGCCGTGAAGAGCACTTATTGCGAAAAGAAGAAAACGTGAAAACGTACTTACCACTTAGCCTGCAGCATCGTAATTTCTTCTCGGACGATTCCTGACTGTTTCCCGTCGAAAACTCTTCTCTTCTTAAATACACATTTTAATTGTACACTTGTAATAATAAAGTATTTTTTTAAAGAAGTTACATTTGCTTTGATCGCCATATTACTATGGTCGTAACGTTTTTCGCGCACTTTAAAGTAATCAATGCCCTTGCACCTTGCAGCAGTAAAATTAACACTCGCGAATGTATAACATAATAAATTTATACTAACTTCATGTGTTAATGACAATTAATTCCGAATTCCGATATATTTCGCATTCAGAATAAGCGTGTCCCATTCGAAATGAGGGTATGTGGTCGCACGATTTACTGCAAGAAACCCGAGCGAATATGATAACTTGGTAACTGTTCAATCCATTTGATCTTCGAACTACGTAATAAAGAGCAGTAGTTAACAATGCAAAACTTAGAATTAACTTCAGTAACGAAAAAATGTTGCAATCGAATGAAACAGGCGGGGATACGGGCGGGAGAATAACTTTCGAATCCGTAGAGAAAGTAGCGTTGGGTGATCGACCAATCGACTCGAGTTTCGGGAACAGGCATACCAACTGTTGATGCATCGATATTTAATGTAAGATCAAAGTTCATTGGAGACCTTCCGTACCGTGCACGATCTTTTGAGTTACATCAGATTTCGAAGTCAGTAGACGCGCCTTGCTGTGTTGGAGTTGTGTGTTTCCGCGTGATTGTTAATAGTTTAAATTACAGTGTTAGCCGTACGTAACATTGAAAAATTCTTCAATCATGAGGTTGTGGACGTCACATCACACTTTTGAGTAAGTCTCGTTCATGGCATCTTATTGCTTCATAATTTTCAAGGCTAGGGTGTCGATACAATTAACAATTGTTCCTTATTTATTGTAAAAAAACCGCTTGACATTGAAATTTTTATTATCTTTCAGTCATCCATGGGACACAGTAGTGAAAGCAGCATGCAGAAAGTATCCGAACCCTTTGAATCCATCTGTTCTGGGAACAGATGTCATCGATAGAAATGTCAAGGACGGTGTCCTTTATTCTCACAGATTAGTCACAACACAATGGCGTTTTCCTACATGGATATTACCGGTAAGTATTTATTTATTTTCATTTTTATTTGCTCTTGATAGCACTGAACATAACCTCTCTAAGGAAACTGCAAGTCTATAATTTGCAAGTACATGCAACTTATTTTAATGAATTCATGTTAGCACTACTTTTCTTTATTGTATCAAGCTTTACTATATACTTTTGATGTTTTGTTATTGTCATTATGTTTAACCATGCAGCTATACCTAGTCCTTTGTAGTAAAATATATATGTATAGTATTAAACAGGCCTACAAAAATGTATTATTCTTTACAAATTTTGTATAATCTTGGGTATTAAATGTTTCAATTGTATTGTGTAAAGAATGTCTTTCGTAAATATTTGGGATTATTCATTCATGAATTCAAGTCTGATTCAAAATGATACCCTACTCTTATGTTTGCTTTAATTTCTCGTAGCAGGAAGTTTAATTGCTTGTTTGTAACATATGATCAATTGTTTAGATAGAATTCCATTATCATAGTACAAAATTTTCCAATACGTTCGTCTTACAATTAATTAAACAGAATAGAAATTTTGACTTTACCGAGAATGCACTGATACGCTACGAGTACATACATATGTATACATTCTCACTACTAAAGTGATCCTGCCACGTGCCTCGCGACCGTGAAATGGTGAAATATGTATTTTGTTAATTTATTTTTAATTTGATCTTAAACGTCAAAGGTAAATACATGCTTCCTTGCAATCACGTCAGTAGTCTATAAAATTAACCAGATACGTAAGATCACGAGCAATTGCGGTCATTGCATGCGTAAGAACATTTGGCTATATGCCGCCCAATGTAAGTTAGCAGTATATGTGCATTCACATTTACGTATTTCATCGTTTTTAAGCAACTGGGAATAGTAAAAATTTGCATTTGTCCCGTCGGAGGTCCTCGTTACGTTTCCACTTTCTACTTTCTACCAGTTTCTAAGTAGATTATGTATTTCTATGATCAGATGTCTATCGACCGGAGCTTAAGTGGCCAACACCGGCCAACACGTAATGCATTACATAATTGGCACAGCAACCGTAATTTTGACGTAGTAATAAGTGCTTACGTCTGCAACGATTTAATCTCTTTCTATAAACTACACGCTTAGAAACCAACCTAGGTAGTTGTTTTATGTGTAATTATATTTCTCGACTATAAATAAGATGTAAAATTCTGTAGTTGGAAACTCACTCTGTGCTTTACATTTTCCTTTTTTATTTATAAAGAAAATTTCTTCACAAATCTTGTATTGGAATAATATTCTATTTGCGAGTTAGAACAGTAGAGTTTATTCCGAAGTTTAGATACCGTAAGAAATCAATTCACACATGGAGTTATGCATCTCTTCTTTGCTCGGCGTTAGTTTATAGACAAAACAACGTGCTGCCGTTTGACCGAGCAATCTATACAAACTGCCGGCAGTAGCTAGCAGGAAATTCGAAACTTTCGACAGCGTCGAGCAAGAAGAAGGTGTGGGATGAATCCAGGCTAGAGGCAAGAGAGAATTACAAAACAACGATACCGTCCGTATCAACTTTCATAATGAGCGCTCCCACCAATGTTACACTCTTTGGCAATCATCCAGCGAGACGCTTGCGTTTTGGAATAGACACCGAGTCTCGAGCCTCCCTTAGAGCCTCTCTCCCTCATCCGTGTTTCCTCTTCCAGCCGACGGAGAGATTCGGAGCGTCGAATCCTTTTCGGCTCGGCGAATTGCTTCCTTTCGCAGGATTTTCTATAAGCTTGGCCATTTCGCAAAGCTGTTCTGTTGTGCCGATTCTCTCGCTCGAATGCCTCGACTCACAGTCCCGTATATAACGAATGCATAGCAAGTGGAAGAAGCGAGAGAAGGTATCGCCTTCGCATTTGGGCACTCTTGAAATTACTTGACGGAAGGGAAAGTGCAAAGCCACGTTTCGATTTCAGTTAGCTACCTCTGTTGTTTCTTTTTCCATTTTTTCTTTTTTCCCTTCTTCACCTGGAACGTGCTCCTCGAGCCAACTACTACATCGACTAAAATTTCTGATTAATTAGCAGATGCATTTTCAACAAGCTGCATTTAATATCGCACATTGGATATTCGAACAGTTATCGATATAGTAAGCCTTTCATGCACATTGTTGGTAATAATTGGCTGCACCGCGTGATTAAAGTGTAATTAAATAGGAAAATATAATTAATTAGCATCGCGCACAGCTTGGGTTTTTTTATATGCTCTGCTTCCAAATTAATTTAATACTCTTTGATATAGACCTTCGACTTCTGTTGATAAAATTGAATTGCATTGATTTATCATACGGTTATTACGTAAGAGTAATGTGTGATGCATCCATGATTTATTATGGCTACATCGTGTTGTGTGTATCGTGTGTATGAACATGGACGCTTATCGTCATTGATGTAATTTAGCTCGGTTTAATAAATAATTAATTTTATCATTTCAGTGCAATATTTTATGATTCTCTTATATATTACTTCCAATTATCAGTTTTTAATATCTCTCCATGAAATTATATAAATCTTGTACCAATAATTTAATTAATTTTTTTATCCAGTTCTTTGGACATCGAGGACCATACTATGCTAGCGAATGGAGCGAAGTCAATCCAGAATCTAAAGAGATGGTGGTCAGGACGGTAAATGTAAGTAAATTAATAATTTTATATATTGCACTGCCTTTTTTATAGAATGCAACGATGATTAATCGTTTAATAATTAGTTTTTAAACTGGTTAAACCGAATGAACAGTATAAATATGCTGAATTATTATAGAATATTCGTTCCCACTTAATTTATATCATCAATCTAAATATCACACATGGCGTATTATTAGTTGATCAAGTACATCTATTAAGCATGCTTCCATGAAGTTTTCATTACATTTACTCTTAGTTACTCATCTATTACTTCACAAAGTGCTTCGGCCACATTTGTAATTTACTACCGAATGAGATAAATGGATGGCGAATAAATCGATATTCAACTTGCAAATGTTACTTTGCACCGTGTACCGTATCGTTCATTCGTATTGTGCAATGCATCGATCTAATTGAAATGGATAATACGCGACGATAAAATGCGGAAAAGAATCGAATATAAACGTTACGTACATTAATTTTAAATGCACAGACGCGCGTCACTGCTCCTGGGGAGCTTTAATATTTCATGTCAAAAAAGAATCGCGTCCATCCGTGCTTATATTAGCAACTCATTTGAACGGCAGAAAATAAATTTCGTGAACGCGCAGCTTCGTAACCGAATAATCAATATGCTTCCAATTCAGTTCGTACGAATCAGGAAAGAATAGTTGGACAATAAGTTGGAAGTTTCGACGTTGGAACTTTGCCAATTGAATTACACGCGCGTTCGGATTCGTCAAGTATCCAAGTGTCTACATGCTTTCTATTTAAGGAGGTAGACTCCCTAGCGAGACGATAAGCTAAAATGTCAATGAATATTTCTGACACAGATCGATATTTCACTAACACATATTTGCGGTCCTTCTCACGTTTGCTCGAGAGACGATATACTTCACGTACACACCATTCCGTCACTGTGTACGTTATCATTCTCAAGACGGAGTTCGCCTGCGAAACCAGACTGACGGTACAGTACATGGTCGAGAGAAAAACGTAAAAGTTTGACGGCCCATAACTTTACAATAAATAACCATAAACGGATGAAACTTCCGTTGTGCAAAGCGGAAAGGCTTCTCTTTAAAATGCCGTTTGACTCACCTCGATCTGATTTTCGGTTCCGAAGACGTGTGAAGACGATCATAAGTTTTTTGACGCCGCTTTTATGTTCCTCCTCGCTCGTTGATCGACTCACTGGTCTAGACTCCCAGCGTTGCCAAGCAAACAATTAGGTTACTGTCAATAACACTAAATGATGCACCTAAATTTTCGAAGTCCGTATCCTTGGAGCGGTAGTTCTGAATGAAGCGATCTATAGAACACCTGAAACTATACATTAAGACGTATTTTGTCTTTATTCCCTGAGAAATAAAGACGCCAAATCGAATGACGTAAACATATATTTTGCACTGTTTTTGCCAAATTATCAATACGAAAAGAGCAACAAATCCGAAAAATTTACTAGTCGAATCTTGAAAAGTCACATGATTATCTTAGCCCGTTAAGAAGGAAGTGCACGCGCGAGCTACTGTATGCTTTGAAAAATAGATTCAGACAAAAGTGACCCGAGACCTTTTATCCTTTGCTGCTGCAATATTTACTGGTGCGAAAATTATGGACGGTAGAAGTTCCGGTTCGAGTAGCAGGTACATTTGCTCAAGTTACAAGCACGAAAGGACCGGGGCACGTCTTAAGGTGGGAAGGAAGGAGCGTAGGATCGCATTGCGTCTAGAAGGTTGGATATGATAGGTTATTGATGCGCGCATTACCGGGGGTTGCATAGGTTCGTGGTCTCTTCGGAGGGACGTGCCAGGAGGGTTTCAGGAAGACACGGCGGGAAACGATGAAGGAAAGGGAGCTGAAGTAGGTATTGCTCCTAGCTCTCCGGCTGCGTGTTCAAGATCGTTCGTCTACCCTCTTCGCTTGATCCTCGGTCAAAAAAGGAAGAAACTAGAAACCGAGATGCTAGATGCATTACTGACATGATGAACGATCCGCAGGTGCCTCGGAGCAAAAAGTGTAGTCTTTCCATCTAGCGGGAATTACTACTGTGTCGATCGTTTCTACCTATCGAATCTTGACACACGTACCACTCACACATTTAGTTGCGTACAATTTCGACCACGGAGATATTTTCATCGTGGTAGGAAAATAATCTGCAATTTGTTTGTTGTACATTTTTTAATAACATAAAACAGGTTTTTGAATTTGGTAATGACTACATTAGGGAGTTTTAATAAAGTATGAACAGGAGTATATGAAAATTCGCAGCTGACTTGCGGAAACACGATCATAGAGATTTTATTTTCGCTACGTAAATATTAAGAGGGGAACATAGCACGCCATGTGCCCATTTATCAGCTGTTTTATATGTAACTTGGCTGTTTGCTCTCATGCATCAAGTATGAAGCGTAAACGGGGGGTGGCTTTCGTACAGCGAGATACAACACGGATCCCGCGATACGTGCTTATTGCTTGAATAGTATGTTTGGATACATTATGCGCTGTACAGGTTCTTTAACATTGTTAATTATTTAAAAGCAGTATATACTTCGAAGCGGCATTACGGCTAAAGGTAATAAATTTTTTAAAATCGAGCACTGTGTTGCGGGACTACTAAATGAATGAATTCCCAGAGTAATTCCGCGCATTCAAGTTATAATACTGTTAACGTGAAAGATAAGTTAACGCGAACGCAAAATAAAATCTCGTTTAATGTGTAAAAAATATTGTACATTTTCGTTTAAATGGATTCGAAATGTTTTGGTAAGTATTATAAATCAGCCGTAGTAAGACTTAACCGTAGCGATATTTCTCGGTCTACATAAGTGGGTCTACCTCTGTCTGAGAATTCTTGCGCAAGAAAATGAACACAGACGTATGGATTAGCATGATACATTAGCACACAGTGGAATAGCACAACGAGCAGTAGTATAAACATGAAATTTCTTCGACGCCGGGGTCGTTCATGTTGCAAGGTACCTACTCACATAGGATGTATGCTGTACGTGGCTATTCACATTCGCGATTCCTCATTCTTTTTTTTTCCGTTGTCGTCTTCTCAATTAAGGTCAGAGGACAGTTGAGGAGCACCGTACGATATTTCCCTGCTGATCGTCGCGCGCTTGCTTAATCTACGGGGACGCATTTCCACGTTTCCTGCACGTTGAGAGCTCGAGTTCAGCTAAAATTGAACAATTCTCTATGGGACGCTATAGCGCTTTCTCTGTCCTAGCTATTTGGTGAATACACGCGCAAGCACGCTGTCGCGCCAGTTCGTTCTCTAACATTGAAACGCGTACGCACAACGCGGACAAACGAGCATGGGCAACAGTGCAAGGAGGCAATGTATTCAACATAAGCTCGGGCAGAGTCCGGGGAAGGTTATATAATCTATCCCCGCCGAATCCCAAGGGCTACATATCTTTTAGCAATTTACCCCTTCTCGTCGTAAGCCATACTGCATAGGTTACGCGAAATGCATACGTATCGTGCGGGCGCCGCCGTAATGCGGCTTCCTATCGTTGAATTAAATACATCCGGCGTATATGTATCGAGTGGAAGCTGAATATAATGTTCTCGAGTCTCTTCATCGTTGCTAATGTTCAGACGTTGTTAATAGTTAGGTGTGCAGAGATTGATCATTAATTTAAAAATAAATCCTGTACATCGATCTTTTGAATAAACGTCGCTATTTCGGCGTTTGCAAATCGCGCTAATGAAATTGCGAATGTCGTAACGCGCGTGCACAGAGTCACGTCTCGTTAATCTATAACAATGCCTCTGTTGGCGCCTGGGGGATGGTGTTGCAATGAATGCATGCGTTTGGCAGAGGAAAAAAAAACGGCGAAACATACCCCCGGTGGTACAGGTGGATGGATATTATCGGATTATCAAACAGACATATTGCAGCCGTGTAACACATGACGCTCGTGTTAAGTTAATCGTGTTATTATTTAAAATGTGTTATACAGCGTGTCTGACTTTTCAACTCGATGGTACGGCTGGTACGTATGTAAATGTTTTGCACCTGCTATACAAATTGATCTATTGGACAGGGATTGCGTTAATATTTTTTTATGGGGTTAATGCCCAACGGCAAATCTATCAATCAAAGATTAATATCACACACTGACGACGATGCAGTATCGATTTCACGATAAATCAACAGTAGTTTCATTGAGAGGAACGATTTTTCAATTTCTGAAAAATTTCTCTACTTTCTACATTCTAAAATAACATTTTTAGTTATCTTCGAATATGCGGAGTACGAATCTCGTTTGTCTTTTGTCTATAAAGCCAAATGCTTGTAATAGAATTTATTGGATGTACATGATATTAAAGAAAAAAATCGCGGATACTTCCCGACGGGAACCAGTAGCTCCTAGTTATCGAAAGAAGGAAAGTAGAAGGCAGTAGATCAATCGAATCGCTGTACGTAGAGTACCTCCGTTCTCGCGAGTTCACCGCAATACGTTCTCAGACACGAAGGAAACCGGAACGATATTTTACCCACGACGATTCGCGTATTCTCTCTAACTATCTTTCCTGGGTACTGGCACGAATTTCCGTGCGTGCAGGCGCGAAAACCCGAGACACGGGAGAGATAGAAGGATACTATTAGATGGTAGGGAGCGGCATCGGACGAGAATTAATAACAGACGCGTGTATCGGTGATGTATCCTGGCCGTGTTCGGGGACTCCCCGTGGACTCTGCTGATGGAGAACTCGAAGGGGTTGCGCTTGGGTGGTGCACGTGGTTGACTGGACGCGGCTCCAACTGAATTATTATACGCGCGTCTCTCTAAATCATAAAAACAACAAATTGCACGAGAGCGAATGCTGTACGGCGTCGGGACTCATTTCTGGAATGCAAACTCACTACCATGAGTATTTATGCATTTTTATAGTGTGAATATGCAGCAAGCAATGCCAAGAATTTTTGGAATGGTAATAAAATTAAAAATGAATGCAGAATTCACGATTTTCGATTTTCGTCACATGCTTCAGTTTGAATTCCGTTGATCCCTCTGGGACCTAATAAACTATAAGTTATCTCGTGACATCTGATCGAAATGTTTCTTGTCGAGTTGATGCACCGACTTGTCAGTGAAGTCTTACAGAATGAACATTAATGATCAAGTGATACGGGATGTTATGATAAAGGATAAAAACGTGTTAGCGTCCATCGTGTACGTATTTATATGCACAGGTACTTAGCTACGCGTAAAAATGTTTCTAAAATATTTTATAAACGAGGAACGCCGAGCACAGAGAATATCGATTCGGCTTAGAGCTAAGACTCTGTTTGTTCAGAAATGTACATACATAGACGCGAAAATGGCGAGTAATTGAATCGAATGTGCGAGGAAACCGCGCGTATCCATTCGACTGTAGGAGCAGATGACTGGAAGCTCCCGTTTACACGATCTAATACGGATTTGTCAGCACACGATTCCCAATCTCCCCAAAATCCGCTAGAATCGGCGATTACTGTACGCAAGAGAAAGCTCGAGGTCGAAGTCCATTCGAGGTCGATCCAGTTTCCGATGTTACGTCCTGCTAGATTTGGATTTCCGGCCGCGGCACCCTCTCGAGGCATCGAATAGTACGGTCGAATTGGAGGCATACCCAGCCTGAGGAACAATGCCACCCGAAGCCAGATCTGTAAAGTCCTCTCAATTATGCGGCGATGCTAATTACTCGCGAGTGCGCACTGAAGAAGGCCTTTACCTCGCACAATGACCCTTCACAGACCACGGTCTACCCTTTTCATTCTCTCCTTGTTATATCGGTGAAGGATGGAACGGAATCACAAGAATTCTTGATTGGAAGAACACACGCTTGTTTGTACGATAGTTTACGAGTCTCTTCGAACGACGCCATTAGGAGACTCTCCGGAGAACCTCTGCTGTAGCGTATTATGTTACTTAATTTTTTTTTTTTTAAATTCAATCTTACTTTATTCCTTAATTCTAGTACGGCTTTTATTTATGTTTTCCCTGGTTTTCTTTAGTTACGGGTCGAACAGATTAAACAGGCAGGAAGATTTAATAAGAGTTATTTAATAAGATTCGGTCCGATTCAGATTAAAATTACCGCGTTTACGTGTCTGTGTACAGCTTTCTTTTATGTCTTGATTTTGGTTAACGACTTTTACCCTAACTGCGCTACTAAACGTGATCGTGCTGCAATGCTACGGTAAATGAAAAGCAAACGCTGTGCTCTGCTGCGGAGACCGAGGGATTGGCAAACATCGGTTTCAACGCGAGGCTGACGAGAAAAATTTCAATTAACCGATGCACTAGATCGGCTTGGGGAGAGGGGGAGACAGAATCGAGGATGTACTCTGGCCTAGCCGAAAAAAGGGAAAATTAATTACTTCGACGTTGACGCTAGAATCAAGAGAGGGATCGATCGGCCGTCTGGTAGGATTAAATCGTGCGTCAGCCGTTTACCTTTTTTACGTGGCTTGTTTTTTAATCTCCGTCGCGATACTAACGAATCGCTTTGTTTTTTCCGACCTGCCGATAAGACAACGGAAGATAATTGCTACAGTTCGTTGTATCGGAACGCGGAAGTAACCGTCTCGAAAATCTTCCGATGTTTCCCCGTGAAAGGAGGATTTATTTTCAAGCACAGGAACTTCCACGATTCTTATAAAAATAGAGTAAATTTGAATAGAATTTTATTTTCGTCCAACTTAGAGGAAATTAATTTTAAATGAATGTAATATAATTACGAGACCGTCCGGATATAGAAGTTTAATGGAAATCTCAAGCACTTCCTTAGTGGTAAGTTATAAATATGTATATATGAGTTATAAATATGTATATATCATTTTTCGATCATGCTTTGTCGGGAATTGGTGAAAAACTGATTCACTGATTAGGGGTACGCTACACGTGATCAACTATGATCGGCTCTGGATAAATTCGTTCGTTACTGCGGTTATAATGAAATCGCTGGTCTTACTTCCAATTATAGTGGATACTTTCATCTCCCTGCTTCATACTTTCCCTCCGCACTTCTGAAGCGATATTCTTAAACACGCTTGAACGATAACAGACGTGAAGTGTTAATTACTTTTCCTGAAATGAATCTTGTTTACACCATTCCCGTGATTCTACGGGAAAATTACCCCCAAGTTCATTTCGTGAGCGCTAAAACCCCGGTTCTACATACAAGACATCCAAAATCCCTCGAGTAAACATAGCTGTTGCGAATAGCTCTCACTAAAATTAAGGGAAAAAATTTCCACGCTATATTTGACCTTTTTATCGTGAATCTGCTTGTAGTTTCGAATGAACGATGAGGAAAAAGAAGCGAAAACAGAATGAATCAAACAAACGTAACGCTCGTGTAACACCAATGCAGTTTCTGCCGGTGGCAAGAACAAAGAACTGTATTCGACAGCGTTGAACGCACCTCAATAGAGACCCCCGGCGCGGCGTGGCGGCTGACGGATTAAACCATCTGCATTTTCCCCCGGACCTCGATCCACGTAATTGATGAAACGCTATTTGAAGCGGAGCGTTAATTTTTCGGCCTCTTCCAATTGTACGGGGGTGATGGCGCCGCAAGATTGGGGGTTGGAGGGACTACGGAACGCGTCCGCCTGGATAGCTCGGTGCGATGTAACACAGTCGACTTCACTGATTGCCAATATGGCGGAGAGCGTGGCATAGAGAATCCTGCGTCTCTCTATCTCGATCACTCGATCGTGGATCCACAATGCGCTGTGCCGCGGGCGTTAATTCCCCCGTGAAACGTATTGCGCCACGCGATTCAATTGTTCCAGTTCCGCGACCACGTACTTCTCGGTGCAATGCTACGAACGACTCGTATGCACTTCATAATGAAGTAATTATTGAAGTGGCAAGCGCGACATTGTCGGTCATCTGTTGGTTATAATTTGTTCTCAACAAATGTGGTCTCGATGAACGTGGATGATCATTTTTGTCTGTTTCTAATTCATTTCATATTAATAGCCACATAAGATAGTTAGTTTTCACAAAGAGCTATTACTGATGATTGAAAGATTGTATGATACTTTTCTTGGAATAAAAGGAACGAATCAATGAACATCTGTAGGTGCATCTTTATAGCTCTCGTTAGAGTCCCTTGATGCTCTTACATCCTTGTATTGTTAAACGGCACACGTGGGTACCGTGAAATCGCGATTATTTATTATGTATCCGCGCTATTATTTGCACACGAGCACGTGCGCATTAAAATTGAATCAAAGCTGTTGAGTTTTCACGTGAGACATCGGTTTGTACGTTTTCGACTGAATAGGGAGAGTGAGAGGGAGTAGGACAGGGAGGCTGAATCTTTTGAATAATTCTAAAATACACGAATGTTTTATTTAACGATCACTGAACGGGATAACGAGGCTTGGAACGACTTCGAACACAATGTCGGGAAACCGGTCAGCGGAACAGCGATTTTGCCCCGTCACGAGTACCATCGTGAGCTCGCTGCCAGAACCTTTATTTCGTTCTATCGATTATTCAAGGCACCGCGTCACTTTCGTGGAAACGTTTTATCTCGATAACGCTGGCTAAGCATCTATCTGAAGGTTGCTAACCCCGGCGGGTTGCACAACACGCTGGTCGATACGGGAACACGTAACTGAAATGAGAGACTTTCAGCATCTAATGACAAGAATTACGAGAAATTGTTGTGCGTCATTTTTAGTACATATTTTCTTTCTCTTCATTGGTTCCAGATAAGCCTAGGCAAGCACGTTTCGGTTGGTGAAGTAGTTACATATTCACCACATCCAGAGAACCCGGATACAACGCTCCTCACTCAACAGGCAGTAATTTCTATCCAAGGCGTACCTCTTATTGATCACCTGGAGAGGCTACTGACAATGACCATCGAACAAAATGCAAATAAGGTAATAGCACCATCACATCTTATTTTAAAACATCTTTCTTCTTTCTTAATTTTCTTCATTTCTCTACCTCAATTGAAATAATTCGAATGACTTATTTTCTTGACCATTTTTATCGAAGAATCAAATCAAATAAGAGCGTTGCATATAATGATTTGAGCATTACAGTATATGTTTTAACATTTCGTGAATTATTTTAAAGTGTTGACTGCGTTATGTTCAGTAGTACCATACAGGTTTTCGTACGAGATATTTCGTCAATTATTTTGAAGTGATTTTGGAATTTCATAGGTGCGAAATGTTTGCTTTCGCACGATAACACTTCGCGTTCGTATTGCGATTTCGTTTCAGGGACGGCAAGCCGTGGAATGGGTCATCGAGAAGCTGCAATCTGAAGTAAAAGATATCGCGTCTTCCGCCGCGAAGTCTACAGACGATTTGCTTAATCAAACGCGTCGTCAGTTCGACGACATCACGAATATTACAAAACAGGGCATGGAAGATATTCAGAATGTAGCGAAAAAATCATTTGATGAATTTCAGAATTTGACTGTACCCCCACCATCTCAGTCGATACCGAAATTATAGCTAATATATCACGTTAGCTTCAATCTCTTTAACTAATGCTATGTAGATCTTCGATGGAACGATTGTACGTGAAATAAAAAGTAGTTCGACGTGAAACAATTCCCTTTTTCGGGTTTTCGTGCGGACCATTCCAGAAGAATGAGAATAATTAAATAAATAAATTTCTGTATTACTGCCTAATAATTATGAAGTCATTGTACAATGACTGAATGATTTATTTTACACAGGTGTAATTAATTTAGATTATTTTAGAGAGTGCAGTAGAAACAAAGTATTCAAGTGAATGTTTCGTGCAAGTATCAGAAATATTTTTAGAACGTAGAGAAAAACTAAACCAATAGCAATAGTTATCGAATGTGCAAACAGAAGTAGATACATATGTGTGTCGAGGTATCGTAAACGAACGGACCAGTGAAAGTACAAACTTATGTTTGTTCAGTAATCTGTACACGAAGGGGAATATATTGCGTCGCCAATCGTTCCACGGAAGTGGCTTTAGTAAAAGAGGATGTAGCTGCGGCAAAAGATGAAAGTGTTTAAGTGAAATGTTTGACAACATCGCTATTTAATACTGACGATTTTTTTGATCTATTATAAAGCTTTGTCAAACGGAAGCAAACCCCTTAAACAGAATAACCAAAAAACGTATGAACGCATAGTATTTGCAAGGTAAATATAATGTCTGTGTTGTGTACGAGATTCGATGCTCGATAAACATTTACGATGCACTTATCTATCTCTTTAGTTTTATTATCGTTTGAGTGTAACTCATGTCGAATACTTTAGGACAATGATGTCACTCGTTTATGCACTTTAAAGCGTGCTTAAGCCCGGTATATACTTCATAGCCCGGTATTTAAGTTTAATTTTCGCTGTGTCGCAAGTAATATCAACCAAACTTATTTTTCCCATGGATGCTAAGTAACTGGTTTAATTATTTAACTTAATAATAACTATTTTCACGCGAAGCTTATGCAGTAATTACAGTGATATAGTCGAACAACTTAGAAAGTCAAACGAAATTTAAATTATAAAATGACGCAGCAATATGCATATACATCAAGTATTGTAACAGTTAGTGCACAGATTTCCATGTCAATTGATCTGAATGACAGCTCGGGTTCGTCTACTCATCTACTCAAATAATGTTAAACAGTAAACCCAAACGCTGAAATATACCTACTTTTAAAGCAACAGGCTTCTTTTACTTTTGCCGTGATTAAGATAAGGTAGTCAGTAATTAGATGCAAAAGAGTGCTACTGCTGCTCTAACTTTATAACAGATGCAGGCAGAAGAAAAGAAAGAAATAAAATCCTAGTCCGCTGTTAAGAAACGTTGTCCCAGGTGGTTCGTCGATGCTCGTATCATTTGAAATCGTGCACACCGAAATACATACCCTGAAACCTTCCTTCCATCGTTTACCGTGTTCCCCTGATTCTCTCCAGGGGATATTCGCACGAGTCAGCTAGTGCTTCCACGCATTGAGAACGAAACACGCTCGTATCATACGGGCCAAGTATCGATTCAACGATGGAGGAGCAGCTTCGACATTCCGCTCGAACAAATTCTACTGGAGCGGAATTTCAACTGAGTCATTATTGTTCTCGGTGGTCTAGAGACAATTTCCATCAGTTTACTCAAATCTGGCTGGCCAACTCTTTACCTAATTGTTAGGTAAGTGGAAATGGAGAATTGAAAGAGCGAGCGAAAGAGACACAGACGGTAGAGAAAGAGAGAGAGAGAAGCCGTGAGGATGTGAGAGAAAAAGAGGAGAGTTGGAGGTAGGTATAAAGTACGAGAAGAGTGACACGTGAGGCACGCAATACGAAATCGTACACGAGACAGGAAACAGACGAAATTTGACATCAGGCTTGACCAGTGGTATGTAAGAGATAATTGATGACGTTACGGTTCATCGCTGGCTACTCGGTTACGGGACACGGACAAATATTGACAGCTTCCGATCAGAGGGCCGCTAGTATCCTTTGTAGGTAACTCACGCACACGATCCCCGGATGTCTGTTCGGTTTTCCTGTTGAATCGCTTCGCTTACAGTACGTTAGTAAATCAACGTCCCTGATGGACGTGCATGTCGAGCAAGTTTCGTAAATTAAAGTGGCCTCGTTTGCCCCTATAAAGCTTTCGTGTGGCTATTGGTTGCACGTGACGTGGAGCGCCATGCTTTGAAGACAAAGTGGCAGTTTTCCCTTTGCTTCAATTTTTATTATGGCTTAAGCCACTTCGAGCGGAACACGAAATTGCAGCTGGAAACTTAAGCCCCGGGTATTTGAAGGGTTCTCTCGCCTTGTAATAAGTCGAGGAACTACAGGTGACCGAGCTTGCACCCAATCATTGTTTCGGGGACAACAACGTCGTTACCGCCGCGCGCCGCATTGTTCATCTTTAATTGCTTGTGCGGTTTTCAGTTATTTCGCGAACGAACGCGTCTTCAAAGGAGCCTTCCGTAGTAAATCAGTTCGTAACAAGTTCCACAAAATTCGATTAGGTAGCCTCCTTATCCTGTGATAGAACGTCCGATCGTTTGTGGTAAGACAAAGGGTCGCTTGTTAACTGATTGTTAATGTTCGTGCCGTCTGCCGGATACGTTTGAGAACTTGTCCCATTAAATTCTGACTAATAACTTATTGTCTTAGGGTAGTTGTCCTTTATGAAGACAATGTCGATTTTAATAGGAGCTCTAAACTTGTATCTATTTTATTGACGTCTTAATAAATTCTCAGTGTTTGAAAATATTGATGCATCGTGTTTAAAACCCTGAAAAGATTTTCAAGGGCATCCTTGAGTTCTCCATTTTCAATTCGTTTAACCTCAGTGCCGGAAGAAAAGAAGAGCTTCAAAGGCTCAAACGGCTGTCGAAAAGGCTCATGGTTTACACATCGCGATGGTACTTTCTCGTCAAGGCTCGCAAAAGCTCTGAGGACAATCGACTGTAAAAGTCGGAGACGGTCAAGGAGATCCTTCTTGGTTTCCTGGTTCTCAATTCACGAGCTCGTGAAAAACCACACTCCATATATTCCCGAACGCTGACTTATATTATCCGTAGCTTTTTGCTTGTTGCTGAGTTTCGTGGAATTCGGCAGAGGCTCGCAAATTGTTTCCGAATAGTTCAACGTTTTGCATAACACAATAAATTCGATGGTTTCATTCTCTTTTTCGAAGTCGGGAATTTGCCCGAAAGTCCAAACGGTTCCATCGAAAATTTTTGGACTTCTCGGTATGATCTTTTCAAGCTAAATTAGTCGCTCGAACCAACGACATTAGCTGCCCGTGAAATTTTAATTCATTACGCACGAACGAACGCTTGTATTTTGCTGGAACTTCGACTGCTGTCACGAATACTCGAAGCGTATTTAGATAATTTTGTTTCGATAGTTAAAAACAACGTCATTAACGTACAACAAAAAGTTTCAAACAACGTCATTAACGTATTTGTCTTGCGTTCATACTAATGACTCTTTAATTAGTTTCTACGTTGAGCTCGTTTAAAATTCCAATGTTAAAATAAAAATATTACTCCTTTGTTATTAACACTTAATCAGTAATTATAAATATTTAGTTTCTTTA